GGAAAAGGGAAGTGAGAATGGTCTCACATCTTGCAGAATGTGATCAGCTCTGCTGAACTGAATCTGTAGGAAGTATTGAAATGGGGTATCTTTTGCTATACATTTTCTTTTTAACCAAAAATTTAAAAATACAGCAATTTAAAAAATTCATGTTTTACCACAATAATGCATTCTTTCTTACTGTAAAAAGATGGGAGTGAGTTTTATGTGTAGGAGAAAGATTGGGAGAGAGAGGAGGACTATGAGAAAGAGAGAGATGGAAAGAGATTGAGACACAGAGAGAGAAAGGATGGAGAGAGATGGAGAGAGAGTGATAGAGAAAGAAATAGAGAGAAAGAATTGAGAGACAGAGAGAGAAGGTGAATGGCATCTGAGCAGGGAGGCAGGTAGGAGTTAAGGTCAGAGTTCCTGACTGACCAGTGTGGGCAGTGCAGCCAGGCTCTGCGCCGGGGTCAAGTTTACCTCTACTCCCCCTCCTGGCTGGTGCAGCCTGAATGGAATGAATGTTTCCATTCTGGTGTCCAAGTGCATCCTCCTTTCAGGGCCAGCCCAAAGCATCGGTCCATTGGCCCACTGGTCACTTTGCTAATCATTAACTTTGGGTTATTACCTACCCTAATCCCCTCCTGAAAGGTAAACAAGGGGCATTGAGAAAAAAAAAGAAAAGCAAGCAACTGCAACAGAGTCAAATCCGACTCCTAGCAACCCCGTGCATTTTAGAGTTCAGTGGTTCCATGGGATTTTCTTGGCTGTAGGAGTCCTGGTGTGGTGCTGTGGGTTAATGCGCCAGACTGCAAAGCCATTTGAACTGCAAGGTTAGCAGTTCAAGCTCATCAGTCACTCCTCAAAAACCCTACATAGGGTCGCTATGGGTTGGAACCGACTCAACGGCACTTCACAACAACAACAACAATCTTACTAAGAAGGAGCCCTGGTGGCATAGTAACTAAACTCTCAATTGCTATCTGAAAGGTTGGGGGTTCAAACCCACCAGCTGAGCAAACCCTGGCAATCTGCTCTCATAAAGGTGAACAGTCATGCCAGGGAAGTCCACACTCCCTAGAGCAGTCATTTACCCAGGGAGAAAGCTCAGAGGGCAGGAGCGGACAGGAAAGAAGGAGGAATGGAAACAGAAACACAGGGAGGAAGTGGGAAGAGTGCTAGCACAGTGTTAGGGCTGCAATGAATGTCTGGAAACAAAGTGTGTCTGAATCAGTGAATGGGAAATGGATTTGCTTTGCATATTTTTACCAAAATCCCTATGAAATATTTCTAAAAATGAATAAATACTAAAAAATACATTTTAAAAATTCAGAGCCTTGGACACCCTAAGGGGCAGATGTACTTTGTCCTACAAAGTCACTGTGATGGGAGTGGGCTGCACAGCACAGAACAGTAATCTTATAGAAGCAGATCACCAGGCTTTTCTTCTGCAGCACTTTTTGAAATGACAAGCTTTATTTTCATAGCAGAGCTCAAACCATGGGCCCAACCCAGGTTTGTTTTTAAGAAATGAAGCCAAGAAATTCCAGCTCAAGCTTTCTCTTTATGAGGGTGTTGGAGAGGTGGGGTTGTCCTGGAGGGAATCTCAACCCAACCCAGGTTGCATGTTCTTCCCTGGAACTCAGACCCCTCCATTCCCCTTCAGGCACAGTGTAGGGTGGATGCAATCCTTGGTTCAAAGTCCTTACATTTCACACCTAGGATGCGACCCTTCTTCTGGGGGTGAGCTTTAGCATGATGGGTTTCTTGGGGTGCATGAAGCGGCTGGTGTCCAGATCTAGGGGGATCTGTGGGGAAGCAGACAGAACTTTGAGGAAGATGGAGAGAGTCACCTGCTACTCACAGCTGCAAAGTGCCACATTCTGAAAACTAAACCCAGCTGTTTTTGAGCTGACTGGGACTCCTGGTGACCGGCATGTGTTAGAGTAGAACAGTGCTCCAGAGGGTTTCCAATGGCTATGACCTTGTACCTGTGTCTCTGGGTAGACTAGAATCCCCACTCTCCACGTAGTAGTTCAGTGCACCCCTGTGTCACGTACAGAACCCTCCAAGAAAGGAAAATGACTGAAGTATCCAAGGTCTCCCACTGTCTCAGTAGAAAAAGCACTTGAGCATCACATGGTGTGGTGTTACACAAGTCTCAGTCCACTCCCATCTAAATAGTGCCTAATGCGCTCCTCAAAGTCCAAAGTCTGTGCATTGCTGATATGCCTGATTTGAAAGAACCCAAGTAAATAAAGCCAAACCCCACTCATGGCAACCCCACATGCTACAGAGTAGAATGACAGAGAGACACCATGCTTAGAAGTATGGTGCATCTAGATTCTCAACCCTACTTTGACCTGGAACTTGGAGAGTGAAATAGGGGCCCTCCAAGTGAATGGCTAGGAAATGCTCACAGATTACTCACCACGCTCACCTGGCTTCCCGCAGACCCAACCCAAGACCACGGGACTTTTTAGTGCAACTCCAGGAGGAGTAGAGAGAAGGCCAACTCACCGGGGTCTCTTTGCACGTCTCCAAAGAGAAGTTCTGCAGGAGCAGGACCATCACCAGCTTGATGGACAGGAGAGCAAACCTCATGCCAACGCACATCCGGGGCCCAAGCCCAAAGGGGAGGAACACATAGGGATCCATCTTTCTCATGTTGTCTTTACTAAACCTAGGTAAGACAATGTGAGCAGGAGGAAGGTGAGATTGGAGAAGCATCTCTGCTTGAGGGCATTCATCTAAATCCAAACGAGTGAAGGAAATTATGTGATACACAATTCACTGTCGTCTTCCAGCGCCTGGCACCTACATGCTGTTATTGTTGTTGTTGTGTTCCATCGAGTCCATATCAACTCATAGGGACCTTGTCTTGTTGTTAATACAGTGAATGAAAATAGATGAATGAATGAGTTCAACAAATGCTTATTTTCCTCTTGTAATGTGGTGGTGGACTCCTGGTGTGACACTGTAGGATCAGCACTGGACTGCTAACCACAAGGCCAGCTGTTCAAACCTACAAGCCACTCCCCAGAAAGCCTATACAGGGTCACTGTTGGCACTGATTGATAAGCACTAGACTGTTAACCAGCTGCTCCACAGGAAAAAGATGAAAAATTCTGCTTCCGTAAAGATTTACTGCCTTGGAAACCCTATATAGGGCCACTATGAGTCAGAATTGATGGCAGTGTGTTTTGGATTTTAATGTAAAAGGAAAGAACGCTGGTGACACAGTGGTTAAAGCACTCTGCTGCTAACCAAAACATCTGTGGTTTGAATCCACCAGCTGCTCTGTGGGAGAAAGATGTGGCAGTCTGCTTCCAGAAAGATTCACAGCCTAGGAAGCGCTATCAGGCTGTTCTAGTTTGTCCTATTGTGTTGCTATGAGTTGGAACCAACTCGAGAACAGTGGGTGTTTTCTTTGTTATCTAGTGCTGCTATAACAAAAATACCACAAGTGGGTGCTTTCAAAGTCTATATTTATTTCCTCACTGGTTAGGAGTCTAGAAATCCAAATTATTGCTCTTGGAAAAGACTTTGTGTGTCCTAGAGGGAATTCCTCACATCAGCTTCTCTTCTGTTCTTGGCATTCCTTGAAGAGCTCCACATGGTGTCTACCTTATCCTCTTTTTGTTTTCTTACTTCTCCCATGTCTAATCTGCTCTGTCTGGGTTTAAACACATCCTACTGCACACAACCTCTTTCTAGTGTTCAAGAGCAAAGATGTCAGTTTGAAGACTAAGGTGCACCTGACCTAAGCTATGGTATTTTCAATAGCTTCATATATATGTGAAAGTTGGACAACGAATAAGGAAGACTGTAGAAGAATTGATGCATTTGAGTTATGGTGTTGGTTAAAAGTACCATGGACTTCTAGAAGAACACACAAATCTGTGTTGGAGGAAGTACAGCTAGAATGTACCTTAGAAGCCAGGATGGCAAGACTTCATCTCACACTTTGGACGTGTTATCAGAAGGGACCATTTATTGGAGAAGTACATCATGCTTGACAAAGTGGACAACCAGCAAAAAGAAGAAGAACCCCAACAAGATGGACTGGCATAGCGGCAGGAGCAACGGGCTCAAGGTTAACACTTGTGAAGATGGCATAGGACTGGGCAGCGTTTCTTTCTGTTGTACATAGGGTCACAATGAGTCAGAGCTGGCACAATGGCACCTAACAACAACACATTTATATGACCTCATTAACTTAATGAAGGAAACTCTGTCTCATTTTTTAAGCGCTGACCCCACAGTGAAACCAGAAAAAGGCTTGCCCATAACCACAGCTGGACAATTAAATTTTATCCCCACCATATCTTGCTGCTGTTTACCTGCCCCAGGCCATTCTCCTCTGGCTTGGGTTGTAATCTCTGGTCATAAACCCCTCAGCGTGGCAGCTGGCCTTGGTGTCACTCTCCTGAATGCAGTTCATGCATTTCCAAGCACAGTGATAAGATGGAGACCATGAAACTCCCCGGCTGGGTTGGATGTCTGGGGCACGTCATCTCTATGCAATGGCATCATTGTCAGATGGGTGGAGGCAATTGCTTCAGGTTCCTCCACCCTCCAGAAAGTCTGGAGTCCAAGAAAATTTGAAATTCTGTTCTGCAATTTCCTCATTTTGATCAGGATTCTTGTGTGAAATCTTTGATCAAAATGTTCAGCAATGGTAGCTGGGCACCATCTAGTTCTTCTGTTCTGATGGATGTTCACGGAGACAGTGAGCCACACTCTATCTTCTTCTCCTGGTCCTGACTCTCCCTTTTCCTCTGTTACTGGTGAAAAGAAACCAACTGCTGTGCCTTGGAAGGCAGCTTGCAAGCTTAAAAGATCCCAGACACTACACAGCAAACTAGGAGGTAGAATGAAAGTGCTAACTAAACACTTTATTAGATGGATGGACTGGAATGTCCAAAGAAACCATGACCCTAAACCTCCAAACCAAGACACCAAATCCCATAGCAGCATGGTATTTTTGATAATTGTCATCTGTCTATCTATCACACAACTTTTGCCAATTCAACTTTTCGCAGAGTAGGACTTACTGATAGCAAGTCCAGTAATTAACTATGCAACCCTTTCCCTTTGTCAGTGTGATTTTTTTTAGTTACCGTTATTGCTGGATTTCTTGACTGCTGTTTCCATGGACATTGATTGTGGATCGAGTAAAATGGAACCCTTGACAATTTTAGTCTCTTCTCTGCTTATCATGTTGTTTATTGGCCCAGTGGTAAGGAGTTTTGTTTGCTTTACATTGAGGTGTAATTCATACTGAAGACTTTGATCTTCATCAGTAAGTGCTTCAAATCCTCTTCACTTTCATCAATCAGAATGGTGGGATGGAAAAGTATGGAGATTGACCTAGAGGGGCCACAGGGGACATTGTAGTGTAGTGAAAGTATTCCATATCTTAGTTGGCATGGTGGTTACATGGGAATAGTATTGCATCCAAGTGGATCTTTGACCTGTGCATTTCACACTGTATGTAAACATTTCATTGTCAGTTTTATTAGCTTCCAACTCAGGGCAGATTTGTTATCTCCCCAGGGTTTTCTTGGTTGTAATCTTCATAGAAGCAGTTTGCCAGGCCTTTCTTCTGCAGAGCTGCTGGGTGGGTTCAAACCACCAGCCTTTAGGTTTGTAGCTGAGCCCTTAAGTTATGTGCCATGTACCAAGGGGCTTCAAATAGTTCATGGAAAAATGAAACGAAACGATCATGGAATTTTCCACAATCTTTTTGAAGCCCCTTTGTACATTACCTCAAAATTTGAAAGTTCCACAATGAACACAATTTCAGATTTTCAAGGACTCCAGAACTCTCTAGAGCCATGAAGGCTGGATAAACCCTAACAATTATTGGGATGAGACAATCTTCAAACCGTAAACCAAAAACATCCCCTGCAGTCGTCTTTAAACCAAACAGTATTTTTCCTTAGCAAGTGAAGAATGTCTGCCTGGAGCATGGACTATCCTATGGGATCAAATTCACAAGAGCAACTTGAAAGGTTAGATAAGAACCTCACAGGGCAGCAAGTTCATGTTCAGGGAGGATGAGCAACTCAGACAGCAAGGTTGAGAATGGATATACAACTTGAAGACTGTGATCAGTGCCACTGATTTGGACACGCAGAAATTGTTGAATTGGTGTACGTTCTGCTGTGTATATTTTTAACAGCAACAACAAAATAAATTATTATTTTAAAAAAAATTTCATGGTTACTCAACTTTGAAAGTTCCCAGAAGTTGGAGCACCCAACCCACTTACCTCTCAGGACGGAACTCTTCTGCCTTGGGCCAGTACTTGGGGTCACGGTGCAGAACGTAGGTGGGAATTATTACCAATGTTCCTTGGGGGATGGTCACCCCATTGATATTGACAGACTTCTTGCACACTCTCTCCAGACGTCCCCCCAGAGGGAAGAGTCGGAGGGTCTCATTCACCACCATGTCCAGGTACTCCAACTGGAAGAGGATGTCGTAGTCGGGGTCTTTCTGCAGGAGACAAATGTTTGTTTACTGATATTGTACTTCTCTCTGTGTCTTTCTTGTTTCTAAAAAATGGCGGGAATATACACAATCATACACCATTTCAACAATGACAGCCTGCACAGCCCAGTGATGCTGACTGCCTTCTGTAAGTTGTACACACATTCTTTTCCAAAGTGTTCTGGCACCAGTGACTTAGACTCACTGCACCCCCAAGGGCCTCAGCTAACCTTTCAATTGCTGTTTTCAATCTGATCAGATATAGATAATTCTTTAAAACTGCACAATGCTCAAGGTATATATACTTTACTTACTAAGGTAAACTTTTTAAAAACTGTTTTATTGTGAATTATGTGATAGTTTACATGGGAGATCGTTAGTTTTACATTCATCCTATCGTATATCCTTTCATTGCTGTGGTTATAATCCCCTCCATGCATCATCATCTCAGTCGAGATTCTACCTTCCTTCACACCCTCTGAATCTAGGTTCCCTCTTGAAAGCTTGTAAGCCAGTCACTTCTTGTCTTTGTAGGACCCCATTTTGGGTAGCCAATGTCCAAGTTGCCCATCCCTGTCTACTCTGTGTATGGAGGGGGTGGGAATGATCCTTGCTGTAAAGATTTGTTCCCTCTTTTGAGCTACTGCATCCATAGGTGTAGGTCAAGTTCATCAAATTGTATCAGATTAGTCTTTTTTTCCCCTCTTCTTTCTTCTTTTGGTTGAGCTCTGATCATCCAGTCATTGAAGTCAGGTCAAATGGGTATTATCAGCAAGTGTGGGTGTTCTTGTGCACATGCCCTCTCTTCTTATCAGCTGGATGCTTCACTCTCCACTCTAGTCCTCTGTGGCTATGTCACTGACTCTGGGCCCAAGAGTCCCCAGGTCTTGCCACACACTGCTGGTCAATCAGGTCTCCACCCGGGTTCACAGAAGTCTAATGAACATTGTAGGGCTTAGCTTGCAGCTTCATTGCTGTTGTTCCCTCACTTCCGCTTATCGGTGACAAATGCGGTCACCAATCAGAGCGTGTATTCCCACTGAATCTTAGTCTTGAAAGGGGGTTTACACTGAGGGGACCCGACCACTTGCCTTGATGTCTCCTGGGCAAGCAACTTGCTTGTTCTTGTAGTAACAGTCAGTCTGCCTCTGTTGTTTTGTATTTTTCCTGTAGGTCTTTCTTTCAAGAAGTATCTTCTGTTCATCTAGCTGCTCCAGGCGGGTCTGCTTGTCCTTTCAAGTGGAAATTTCCCATCTCTGGAAATCTGGATGAGGTTCAAGCTTCCACTTACAGTCTTATGTAATGCAGAGGCTCCACTGGAAGCCTCCTTCACTGGGCACGTTGTAGCCCCATTTTAGGTATTCCAATCAGTTATAGGCAGAAGACAGACTTACAAGCTTTCTATGGTGATGTTTCTGGCTATTTCTTTCTCTCCCTCTCAAGTGTCTATTTTATAATGGTATACAAGGGAAACCAAGATTCAAAAGACAGCCAAGCATCTTAACATTATTCCCCCCTTTTCCCCATTCCAACCATGTCTCAATATCTGTATCCCAGATCCCTGTTGTTCCAAGGTTGTGCATACATCATTATTTACCACTGTCCTACTTAGCCCATGCAAACCTGCCTAATTGTTCTCCCATCTGCTTTGTTCTTCCATTCCCCTCTCCCTTCTTGTATATTGCCCCCCTCCCCAGTACCCAAACTATCATATGTCTATTCCCTGCCCTGTGCTCCACCTTCCCCTTTTTCCCCTCCCTCCTCCCCCTCCCCCCCATACCAGCAACCAGCAAAGAATCCACCCCTGTTTAGTATGGGTTCTTTTTCTTAATCTTTTACAATATTGGTCCTATGCAGTATTTCTCCTTTTGTGACCCACTAATTTCACTCAACATAACGTCCTCAAGGTTCATTCCTTTTAAGCGGTGGCTTGCAGCTTCCTTGTTTTTTTTTTTAAGGTAGCGTAGTATTCCATCGTGTGTATGTATCAGTTTGTTTATCCATTCATAAGTTGATGGGCACTTTGGCTGCCTCCATCTTTTTGCTATTGTAAACAGTGGTGCTATGAACATTGGTGTGCATATATCTTCTCATGTGTGGCTTGTATTTCTTGTGGGTAAATACCAAGTAGAGGAATTGCTGGATCATAAGGTATTTCTATTTTCAACCTTCTGAGGAAGTGCCATATTGCTTTCCAGAGAGGTTGGACCATTTTGCAGTCCCACCAGCAATGCAGGAGTGTCCCAGTCTCTCCACATCCCTGCCAGCATGTATTGTCCTCTACTTTTTTGATCTTCGGTGTTATTGGTGGTTGAGATGATATCTCATTGTTGTTTTGATTTGCATCTCTCTAATGGCTAGTGATCATGAACATTTCTTCATATGTTTGTTGGCTACCTGATCTCTTCCTTGGTGAAATGTCTGCTCATGTCCTGTGCCCATTTTTAAACTGGGTTTTTTGTCTTTTTCTTGTAGAAGTGTTATAGTTTCCTATATATTTTAGAAATGAGTCCCTTATCTGATGTGTCATTGCAAAAGATTTTTTCCCATTCTGTGTGTTCCCTTTTTACTCTTCCGGTGAAGTCTTTTGATGCACATAAGTTTTTAATTTTTAGTATGTCCCACTCATCTGTTTTATCTACTTTTGTTTGTGTGATTTTCAAAATGTTTTGTAGTCTGTGTATCCCTGAATTAGTGTCCTCACATTTGTCCCGATTTTTTCATTGATGGCCTTCATAATTCTGGGATTCACATTTAGGTCTTTAATCCATGTTGAGCTGGTTTTTGTATAAGGCGTGAGGTGTGAAGGTCTTGTTTCAATCTTTTGCATATCGTTTTCCAGTTCTGCCAGCACCATCTTTTGAAGACACTATCACCTCCCCATGAAATATATTTAGGTATTTTGTCAAAAATCAGTTGGCTGTATGTAGATGGGTTAATTTCTGGATTCTCGATTCTGTTCCATTGATCTATATATCTTTTATTGTACCAGTACCAAGCTGTTTTGACCACTATAGCTGTGTAGTAAATTTTGAAGTCAGGAAGTGACAGGCCTCCAACTTTATTCTTCTTCTTAAGCAGTGCTTTGCTTATCCTGGCTCTCTTTCCTTTCCATATAGAGTTTGTAATTGTTTTTCCATCTTTTCGAAGAACGTCGTTGGAATCTGGATTGGGATTGCATTTTATGTATAAATTGCTTTGGGCAGTATTGACATTTTCACAATGTTAAGTCTTCCTATCCAGGAGCATGGAACATTCTTCCATTGTTTTAGTCTCTTTTGTTTTCTTGTAGCAGTGTTTTGTAGTTTTCTTTGTATAAGTCCTTTGTTTCTCTGGTTACATTTATTCCTAGATATTTCATCCTATGTGTGGCTATTGTAAATGGTATTGCTTTCCTAATGTGCTTTTCAACACTGTCATTTTTGGTATAGAGGAATACAACTGATTTTTGTATGTTGATCTTATATCCTGCCACTTTGTCGAATCTTCCAATGAGGTTTAGTAGCTTTTTTAACTGAGT